ATTCCTTGTTGTAATTTCATTGTACCATTGGTTACCTGTTGCATATTTACTTTTGGGACTACGAGGCGGTACCTCGAGAGCACACTCGTTGCATATTTACTTTTTAGACTACGAGATGGTACCTCGGGAGTGCCCCTGTTGCATATTTACTTTTGGGACTACGAGGCGGTACCTCGGAGCGCCCCTGATGCATATTTACTTTTAGGACTATGAGGCGGTACCTCGTGAGCTCCCTTGTCGTGTATTTACTTTTGGGACTACGAAGCGGTACCTCGGGAGCGCCCTTGTTGTTTACCTCTATTTGTTGTGTTGTCGTTGTTGTTGTTGTTTCTTAACTTGTAAGAATTTTGTTTTCCCTTACGTGTTGTAGTCTTCTTGAATCTTGTGTTGTTATTTTTCTGTAAATTCTCATTGTTCACTTCTCAGTCATTTCATTATATTATTATATCTTTTGCCTTGTTTCCTATTATTTTCAGTAGGGCCCTGACCTGACCTTGTCACTATTCTACTTAGATTAGGCTTGGTACTTATTGGGTACCATTGTGGTGTAATCATACTATACTTCTGTACATCTTTTGTGCAGATCTAGGTACTGATTACCAGACTAAGTACCAGTGAGCTAGCCCGTATGTGGAGACTTTAAGGTACATCTGCCAGCGTCTGCAGACCTCGGAGACCTCCTTTATCCTTATTATGTTATTTTTCTCATTCCTCATTAGACTCTGATGTATAGATATATTTAGTATTTTTTTCTCTTTGGAGCTTGTGACTTATTTCTATCGGGTTTTGGGAGTTGTAACTATTTTGAATCGCCGTTCTTATTTATTTCAGATGTTGAGGTTGAGTTTCAGCTTTATATTCAGTTATTCCGCATATTTGTCAGGCTTACCTAATCTTAGAGACTAGGTTCCATCACGACATCCCAGGGAGGGAAATTGGGTCTTGAAAACATCGCCTCTTTGAACGTTTAAGGCTCATTTTCCAACAAGAATGTCAGAAAATCTGGTCCAAAGGAAGTAGTTGTCCTTTGACGTTTACTACGTCTTGGATTTTTTTCATTAAAGGCACTTTCCTTTGCTTCTTCCCGAGTTCGCTTAAACGTTCACTAGACGACTCACATTCCTTTTTATACGGATAAATATTCTCAAAGAATTCAGCATAATCTGATTCAATTACCGTATTAATATGAATATCAGAATTTTCTGATTTATGAACCAGAAAACGATATGCCTTACTATTTGTTGCATATCCTATGAAATCCCAATCAATGGTTTTTTTTCAATCTTTACCTTTTTAGGTTTAGGGACTTGTACATTAGCCAAACACCTCAATACTTTAAAATATTTTAAGTTAGGTTTCCTTCCTTTCCATTTTTCGTATGGAATGGATTGCGTTTTTCTATGGGGAACTCGATTGAGTATTTGGTTGACTGGAAGAATAGCTTTCCCTCACAAGTTTTGAGGTAAACCGAAACTTATTAATAAGGCATTCATCATCTCCTTTAACGTTCTTTTCTTTCTTTCCGCAATTCTATTAGATTGCGGTGAGTAAGAGGCAGTTGTTTGGTGAATAATGCCATATTCCAAACATATTTCTTCAAAAGGAGATTCATATTCGTCACCCCTATCACTTCTTATCATTTTGATCTTTTTGTTTAGTTGCTTTTAACTTCATTTTATATTGCTTAAATGCATCAATTGCTTCATCTTCACAATTAAGTAAGTAAATATAGCAATATCTAGTATTGTCATCAATAAAAGTTATGAAATACTTTTTTCCACTGCGAGATGGTATTGATTTCATGTCGCAAATATCTGTGTGAATTATGTCTAAAGGATTTGAATTCCTTTCAACTGACTTATAATGATGTTTAACATACTTTGATTCCACACATATTTGACATTTCGAGTTATTACATTCAAACTTAGGCAATACTTCTAAATTAATCATTTTTCGCAAAGTTTTGAAGTTGACTTGACCTAAACGTTCATGCCATAAATTATTTGACTCAAGCAAGTAAGAAGAAGTTGAAATTTTATTTATATCAATGGCAATTACATTGAGTTTGAAAAAGCCCTCAGTAAGGTAACATTTTCCTACATACATCTCATTCTTACTAATTACAACCTTGTCGGAAATAAAAATACACTTAAAGCCGTTCTTGACTAGTAGTGATGTCGATACTAAATTCTTTCGCATTTCAAGTACATGAAGGATATCGTTTAGCGTCACAATCTTGCCAGAAGTCTTCTTCAAAGTTATTTTGCATGTTCCTTAGCAGTCTATTTTACCTCTTTGTTTTGAAATATCAATGGTAAGAATTGAATGGTTTAAAAAATATATTGTATATCTCTTTGAATGATATTCAAAATTAATAATAAGCTATAAATCATCAAATGTTCTCACATCGATTGACATTATTGACAAGCACCACATTTACGTTAAAGTAGATGGTGCACCCATGGTTTCAAAATTTTGGATCCGCCTCTGACTCGACATTTTATGTGTCCGTTGTGGGTCAATAGTTGGTTGGAAATACGCGAGTTCAGAGTTTCAAATTGCTAGAGATTATATGGCAATATTTAAAAATTATTACTAGTTGCTAATAGTAATCTATTTCAGGAAACTGCCCATGAGAAGAATCAAAAATACAAAGAAGGAAAGTTGGTGCTTGAGTGGTCAGTTGAATACTGCAATAGTGTTGTTATATTTAGTTAGAAACAGATTACAAGTCATCTCTGAAGTTTTTCTCTTTTAGGCTGAACAGACACAATCGGTGGAGAAGTTTGTATCAAGTCAAAGACAACAAGTTTAAGTCATTTTATGAAATGACTTGCACCCAATTCTTAAATGGCAAGGCAGGATTAAGAACCAAGAAGCACGGGGGTTTTGTAAGTGTTACAGATAATTACAGCAACACAGCTCAACTCAACTCGGATAAGTGTGAACAATCAAAGGAAACCAGTGCACTTGAAAATAGGACTGACTAAAGACCTGTTTGGTTTAACTGATTGAAATTAGAGCGTTGAAAGCTGAAAAGCACTTTTAAGCGCTAAAATTGATACTTGTCGTAAATGATCTTAAATTGAAAGTGCTAAAGTTGATAATTGATGTGTTTGGTAATAAATTGTTGATAAATACTTTTTCTGTTAAAATGACTAGACCGATAAATTCTTCCTCCTCCTCCTTCCAACTCTTCGTCCTTCCCACCATTAAAGCTAAACCTTCAAGTTTTTCCACGGACTCCTGGCATAGTTTCACCATTAGTTGCATATTAGTGAGTCAATGTTCTGTTATAAATTCAACGGAAAAGGGCCAAAACTGCCCATCAAACTATTCGATTTGGTACAAAACTAACCTCCATTTATTTACTGTGCCAAAAATACCCCCACAGTTATCTTAGTAGCTCAATCATGCCCTTATTACTAACGGACTTATCTAAAAAAAAAGAAAAATTTAATGATTATCCATGTGTTACCGTGCTATTAGCCTAAATATAAACCCTTGCTAAATTAAAAAGAAAAAAAACACCATAAACATAGGTTTTCATTGATCTGCCCCGATTTTAAACCCTATTAATCCAAACCTGATTTTAAAAGACAGTGTAACTTCTTCTTCATCTTTTAGATTATGCAAATGGAAAGATTTGCGCCACTACAACAACAAGAAACGTAACAATTTAAGGAAGAAAATATTGAATTTGGGAATGAAATAAAATGGGTATGAGAATAAAATTTAGGATCTTGACTTAAAAATTAATTCATTAAATGAAATCAAATGGGTATAAAATGGGTATGAGAAAAAAATTCATTATCGCCTCATTTGATTCAATTTCATGGAGATTGGAGAAGAAAGGGGGAGTTGGCAATGGGGCATGTCCCTTTTTTCGGGCTACCGTGAAGAAATCATAATGGGTATTTTTTTAAAAAAAAATTGGTAAAGATTTAAATTTAGATCAATGGAACGGTGACATATGGATATTAATTAAAAATATTTTTCAAATAAATATGTTAGTTAATAATGGCATAAGTGAGTCACTAAGATAACGATAGGGGCATTTTTGACTCAATAGGTGGGCGGGAACATTTTTGTACCAAATCAAATTTTTGAACCAAATCGAATAGCCTAAGGACAGTTTTGGCCATTTTCCGTAAATTCAATAATTTGTTCTAAAATAAGATAAATTTGTTTTCGTTGTAATAGTGGGTTCAATACCGTGTGACACTATTTGATTAGTTACGGAATTCAAATTTTCAGTTTGACTCGTATGTTTTATGAGTAGCACTAAAAGAAGATAATATAAAATAGTTTTTTTAAGTTAATTTGGTGTAGAAAATATTATATCAAAGTTTAAATTTGATTTGAAACTTGCGGAAGTTATATAGAAACAACATTAGTAAATAGCATACTATCAAACACTTAAAATGAAATGGTCTTGAAATAGGAATGGCCATACAGATTGCAACTGCAGAAACTCACATCATTGGACTCGCGTATGGTTGAGCTTTCTAATTTTTTATTAATAAGTTTTAGATATACTATACTAGCCAGGAAATGACTAACTAGTTTCTCTCCTCCACCCTATGTGTTTTTAAGCTTATTCTCTTTAAAATGTCCCTCTAATTATACATACAACAACAACCAAGTATAATCTCACTAGTGGGGTCTGGAAAGGGTAGTGTATACGCAAACTTTACCCCTACCCTGAGACGCAAACCTTACCCCTACCCTGAGGTAGAGAGGCTGTTTCCGATAGACCCTCGGCTCGCTCCCTCCAAGAACTCCCCCCTCCAAGAACTCCCCCACCTTGCTCTTGGGGTGACTCGAACTCACAACATTTTGGTTGGAAGTGGAGGGTGCTAACCACCAGAGCAACTCACTCGTCTCTAATTGTACATACCATCAGTATAAAACAAAAATAGAGAAGAAAACAACCCTCCAAGCCTTCGTTATACGTTTTCTTGGAGCATTACAAGTATCCTGTTGTGCTTATTTCCACCTTTTAACGACATGACATATTTTCATATTCAGAAGTCAAGATCCGAGAAGAAATCAGCCTAAAGGCGTAAAGCATTATTTTTCAAAGCTGATAGTATTAGAGAAGATCTTTGTCTTCCTCCAATTGTATATTAAACACGATCCAAAACAACCTGGCAATGAGACTGCGATAAATATTCTCAGAAGTAGCATTGCCCCTCAAAGTCGTTCTAAGATTATTTGCAATGTAATATTTTTGACTAAGAAGGTGCTGCTTTCATAAAGGGAGAAGGATAAAGCAAGCAACTTGATGCTTGAAGATTTCCAATCAGGTACCATATTGAGTAGCTCCACCCCAATCTGATTCTTGTTTATTCCATGTCGACTAGCAGAGCAGCACAGTACCAATAACCAGCCCCTGAATTACGTTGGATAACTAAATTAGTTCCCTCCTAGTTTGCATCCCTCAGCACACCAAGAAATGCACTGTTGACGCACAAACTTCAGAAGGTTTTCCCGGGCTCCTCAGTTCTACCAACAGCTTGACAAGGGCACCATAAAATTACAATGAGGGAAAGAATTTTATGCACTGAATTAATAGATTATTGCGTCAGCCCAATGAATAAACTATTCGTTCAGAGAGCTCTGTACCAACAGCCCTCATGTATCTGTGCAGTTGTGTCTCCATAAACCGCCTTTCGCTGGAACCAAAAGCTTCACGCAAATCCTTTGAAGAAAGAAAGTAATTCAGTTACATTAAGCATAAAACAGAAAAAGAACCGTTGGAAAGAGTTTTCTGAATCAGAATACTAGAAGCAGCATAACAAGTCTACCTATCCTTAAAGCCATATTTTTTCAATGGGTAAACCATAGTGGAGAACCAGATCACTACTTGCTGCTTCTTTGCTGTTTTGTTTTTCATTTCTATACCTCACATTTGTGTTTGTCATCATTCCAAAGCACATAATTTTAAGAGGACTTTATATTTAACATTTTTAGTCTAGAATAATTATAATAAGGACTATACTTCACTTTGATATGCAAAAGCTGTTAATGTGAAAGGCAATGAATATTTACTTTGTATCTCAGACGAACTTCCTTCAACCCAATCAAAACATTGCCAACATCTCCATTTTCTACTTTGGGCAATTGGACGTCACTGCTCTCAGGGTCCAATTCGTCATCTGAATCTTCAAAATCAGGCTCATCCATTTCGTCATCCTCACCAACAAAAATATCATTTGATCCATGAAACTGCTTTTCATCATTTTGCTCCTCATAATTTTCAAGGATACTAGGCGGCAAATGCTCTCCATTTTCTGTGGCAATATCAGATAAAACCACATACCGTTTTCTGTCTAGCAGTGGCTTGACAACATCAAATGGAACCCACCTAATTAGAAGAAATATTGTCAGTCAGAACACAGAAGATTAGTCCTGGTGCAATACCAGATCATGATTGGTGAGTAATCCTACTACATGATAACAGTTAGCACACAAATAGCAACACGTGAAGTCATGTTCATGCTGGCTAAAGATTCAGCTATATGCACAGTGCAGTGTGGTTTGATTTTCCAACAGGATAACCTCAACAATTTTTGGTTCCAATATTACATGTATAAAAGTAGGGCGAAAGATATCACAAGCCATTATTTTTCAGTTAGGCCCCCATAATGGCATTGTTGGTTGAAATTAGTACAAGAGCCTAGGTAAAAAGTTTTGATAGTTAAGGGTCTCGATTGTCACACCACCACTTCTGTCGGCTACAATTAGAAGAGTGTTAAACTTAACAATGCTTCTTTTATTTTCCTGTTGATGACATTTGTTTTTTGATGATTGAGAAATCACTCTAGGGCCAACCTTTAGGACCAACTACAGCTTTCGAAACTTAGGGATATTTAGCCTGCCACTCTTCCCTTCTCCGCTTAAATACCAGGCTTCGCATGGCGCAGGACTCGAACATGTGACCTAAGTCACAGGTCCCTCAACCTTCGCTAGTTGAATTAAGCCCTAGTGTGATGACCCGCCATGTCATCATGCCACATAGACGACATTTGGCATATATTAATGCCATGTGAAAGCTTACATAGGAGGAATGCTAGCATTTGTGAGAAGATTCTTGAGAAGTATGAACATTTACTTTGGAAGACCCTAGATCCCTATGGATTTGTTAGGAAAGTCCTTGGAATCTTCTAGGCTTGTAGAGAATTCTAGAGAAAGCCCTTATCTTGTAAATATTAAGGACTTGTGCGACAATTAATATTTACACACTAGCCCCTAGGAGACTAGTATATAAAGGAGGCCATTCATTTGTAATCCACCAAGCAAACAATTCAAATTCTCTCTAGTACAAAACTTCCTTTAACAATTCTCTTGTGTTCTTTCTACCATTCTCTTAGGGATCTTGAGTGTAGTAAGGCTGACCTGGCATAGCAAGAATGTGAGCAAGTTGTGCAAAATCGTGAGCGAGTTGTCAAGTGCCGCACGTGTACTTAGTTAACGACTAAGGACGTGACAACGTGGTATCATAGCAAAGGTTGCAACTAAGGGAATGGCGAACGACGGAGAAATTAACGCTGCCAACACCCAAGCCAACGTCATCCAAGATGCTGCTGGCAAGAGTGGCCGTAACAAAAAGAGGAATGCCACTAACAAGAGCCAGGAGGTGCCACCCGAGGTTGTGTCAAACGAAGGGCTTACATTCCAAGAACCATCTGCCACTGAGTGGGTGATGAAGATGAACGCGGAGATGGACGCCGTTGAGATCTTTGGCCAACGCTTGGGGAAGGTGGAAGGCACCCTTAGCGTTCTTGAGGGCCTGAGGGGCACACTCTTGAAGAGATTGAGAGTATCCGAAATGACTTGGAGGGACGTACACAGACCGAGATGGAACTAAGGCAAATCATCACTGCCTTAGAGTGCAGGCTCATGAAGGCTTTGAGTACTATCGATGCTATGAAGGCAAAGATAGAGTCACTAGAGGAGCATGTTAGTGTTGGCATGACCGAGGCAGCCAACAATGTTGTGGTGACGAGGGAGACCAAGATCGAGGCTCCCAAACCTCCGGTGTTCAAAGGTGTTCGTGATGCACAAGAAGTGGAAAACTTCCTTTGGCACTTGGAGAACTACTTCAGGCACGGCAAAGTGAGGGACGACGAGGCCATGATCAACACTGCAGTGTTATACCTCTCAGAGACTGCCATGCTATGGTGGAGAAGGAAGATGGCCGACGTGGATAAAGGTCTATGTACTATTAGCACGTGGGATCAGTGCAAAGCCGAGTTCAAGCGACAGTTCTTTCCAAACAATGTCTTGTACGAGGCAAGGCGCAAGCTTAGGGAGTTGAAGCAAACAGGAAGCATACGTGTCTATGTCAAGGAGTTCACTACCCTTATGCTTCAATTCCCCAACCTGACCAATGATGACTTGTTGTTCCACTTCATGGACGGGTTGCAAAATTAGACTAAACAGGAGTTGCAACGCCGGCAAGTCGCAGATATAGACCAAGCCATAGTGGAGGCCGAATCATTGATGGATTTCAGGCATGACAAGCATGACAAAGGCAAAAGAAAAGAATCAAAGGTTAATAATGTCAAAGGTGGGGGAGACCGTGGCAAAGGCAAGGAGATACAACAACAATACTACAAGACTCAAGATTCCAAAAAGTCGAGTGGCCGTCAGGGCTACGCCGAAAAGAAGGGATGTTACATATGCGGAGGGCCGCACAGCTTCAGGAATTGTCCCGACCTAAAGAACCTCAGCGCCATGGTCCGTGAACGGAAGGAACAGCCGCAAGGAGAGAGTTCGGGAACCGCACAGTTGGGTATGATCAGATTATGTGGTGCTGTCACGAAGCAAGCTATCCAACCTACCGAGAATGGCAATTAGTACGTGGATCTCACCATCAACAACAAGCCTGCTCGTGCAATGGTGGATACTGGAGCAACTCATAATTTCGTGACTGAGGCTGCCACAAAGAGACTAGAATTGAAGCTTGCTCCAACCAACTCTCGCGTTAAGAGAGTGAATGCCGAGGTACAGAATGCTCGTGGGGTAGCTAATGGAGTTGGTGTCAAATTGGGAACT